CTGCAATTGTAAGTAAATGGTATAATATACAATGCCTTGCAAAAGACTTCACCCCCTGTGCTGGTAATCAATCTCAAGTTATTTTCTTTTGAAAGACACAACTCAAATGGTCAAAAGGTACATTGTTAATCACTTTAGTGATATAATACAAATAAATCTTGAAAACACGTTGCAAAAGTCTTCACCACCTAACATGAATATGCAATTAATATTTGGTTGAAGCTCCTTTGGCAGCAATGATAGACGAAAGTCGTTTTGGATAACCCTCCACAAGCTTTGCACAGTATGTTGGAGATATATTTGCCCATTCCTGCTTGCAGATATCCTCCAGTTCTTGTAACTTGGAAGGATGTCTTTGATGCACAGCAATTTTCAAATCTCTTCACAAATTTTTGAGTAGATTTAGGTCTGGGCTTTCGCTTGGCCAGTCCAGGACTTTAATTATGTTTCTCCAAAATCATTCTTGGGTTACCTTTGATCTGTGTTTGGGATTATTGTCCTGTTAAACGTTTTTCAGCTGACTTCTTCAGGTTTACCTCCAACATCTGTGTATATTTTGCACCGTCCATGATCCTTTGAATGCATACAAATTCTCCAGTGCCAGCTGCAGAAAACATACCCACAGCATTATGAACCCACCACCATGCTTGATAGTTGGAACTGTATTTGCGGGGCATGAGCAGTTTTGGGTTTTCACCATACATACCATTTGTCCTTTAACCCAAAAAGTTATATCTTGGTCTCATCTGACCACAGAACTTTCTGCCACATTGTTGTAGGGTTATTGAAATATTTACGGACATAAGTCATTCGCGATCTAAGATACATCTTCCTCAGTAGTGGTTTATTTCTTGCCACCCTACCATACAAGCCTATTTTGTGTAAGGTACATGATATTGTCGAGGAATGTACAGTAACTCCAGCTGCTGCTATTGAAGTCTGCATCTCCTTCAGTGTCACTGTTGGCTTGACAGTCACTTCGCTGACAATTTTGTTCTGCGTGTTCGAGTGCAGACTTTCTTAGGGCAACCTGATCTTGGCAAGGTTGAGGTAGTGTGACACACTTCATTTCTTCACAATCGATTTTACAGTACTTAATGGCAAGAACATTTGAAATTGATTTACAGCCTTCTCCAGAATTGTCCTTCTGCACAATCTTCTCTCTTAGATCTGTAGAGCATTTATTATCTTTGACTTTAGTTAACGTTAACTACTAATGGTTGGAGACGGCCTAAATGGGTAATGAAGAAAAACTTTAATACAAGTTTAACATAACAGCAAATGTACAACGTTTGGACAATGTTTTGTCATCATCAGGTAACTACATTCACAGATGGCGCCACGTCCTTACACACACACACAAATTAATTTTCTATAACACAACATACACACAGTGTGGACATTGTTTCACGTGATTAATTAATGACGGTCATTGGCAGCAGAAGTGTCTTACGGGCCAAAATCGAAATGGCTCTTCATATCAGCCATATTGTGGCTGCTGGAGTAGAAACTTGAACTAATTATATGTATTATTGCAATAGTGGCAGTTATTTTTTCAATACATTCCTGCAAAAATAATGCTAGTGCGCACTCTGAGATATATGACGTTTATGTGCTCTCCACGAAGGACATCCAGAGTTGGGTCTAATAATGGTTGGAGACGGCTTGAATGGGTAATGAAGAAAAACTTTAATATAAGTTTAACATAACAGCAAATGTACAACGTTTCGACAAGGTTTTGTCATCATCAGATACCTGATAATGCTTTAAACTACATGGCATAAATAGATATTCAACTGACATGCTATTAGCTACATTTATCACAGTTAATCAACAATTATTGGTAATTAACATTTAACAATAATTAAACCCATTTCAATAATAATTATGGTATTACCAAATGTTTACTGTGTATTGATATTTAGTCATTTATTACTACTGACATTACCTTCTGTTATTAATTACATTATCCAAATAGAAATATATCAATTGGACATCCTTATAAAGAAATATATTTAATTCTTGCAAAGTATTAACTGAATGTCAATTGAAAATGGAATTAATTATTTTCAAATATCCAATGAATATCTCTGCCATGCAATTTAAAGCATTACAAAAAATTGTTCTACATTTCTTTGTGGTGTGCATTTCTAAGTGGACTGAGTGGAACTCTATCCAAGTTAACAAATGTTTTACAATTCTTGAAATTATTGTTTTGGATGTTTATACTGAAATAAAGAGCTTATTATTTATATTGGGCATTATATAGTCATATATGCTAACTGACAGATATATTTATAACAGGAAAGGCTTTAATTGGGTATTTGCAGACAATTAGACTGGCAAGGAACATACAGGCTATATAATGCAAGTATGATATGACCATGCTTTCGTACAGACTGATCTTGGAATGTACACCATCTCTTTCCTGAAAACTGCACAATTTGGAGAATACATAAACTCCATTACATTAAACTCAATCAAATATTTATGTTTTACACCTGGAATCTACACATGTATGAACTATGAAAAGTGGCTAGTTATAACCATATACACACAAAACACCATGTATATTTTACTTTGGTGAAAAGTTACATTTTAAATTTCTTGACAGCTTCTTGTATATGTCAAAGTATTATTTGGCATCAGTTAGCTATAAACAGAATAATGTGGCAGAAAAAAAAAAGCTTCTGAATTACTCTCATTCCATAAATGTTTTAGAAACTGGTAATGGTGTGATTTAAATCATTTGTTTAAAGTTGCAAATAATTTCAAAAAACACAAATGATTATTTTTATTACAACCCAAAAATAAAAACAATGTTACAAGCTCTATAAAAGTAAGCACGTAATTATTCAAATAGAAAAAAAATATTAATGTATTAAACTTTTACCAAAAAATTTATACCCTTTTTAATGTTTTAGTGTGAAATCATATAGATACGTATATATATGTAACATTAAAATAACTTCATCTAAAACAGTTATCGTGAAAGAAGTTCTGAACATTATTCATTTTAGAAACAAGCACCAGTTTATAGAATTCACAAAATAAATAATTTTCTGGAAAATTCAATACATTTGACAAATGAAAGAAATAAGAAAAACTAATACACAAATTTCTTATGATAAACAAAATAATAATAATATAAAAGCTAAAAATTTGCATAAGCTGACTGATGGGTTTTAATGGTCTCTACTTAAAATATTACTTCTATGAAGGAACAATTTAAATTGCAGAACACTACAAATTTTTGCTTTTCACTCACCAACTGTTAAACTACACCATTTAATCTTATATGTATAGATCTCATTAACATTATTATATCTATATAAATCTACCACTTTTTCAATATGATTTGCCTTTTAGATCAATAATACATTTCATTACGTGTCACATCAACTAATGAAAACTTGGTACATATTATATTTGAACTTAAACATAACACCTATGTATGAGCCTCATCTGTTGAAAAGTTAAAAATACTAGTGTTCAGGCCCAAATGCATGTAAAACAAGTAGATGTATAATTTTTAAAGGAATGTATTTCCTAACATTGGTATTTAATACAAGAAGATAACGTTTGTTAGCAGCATCCATATCTATTTAATCAAGTAACAATAAAACAGCAGCCATGATTTCAGCATAGAATATATAGTATATCAATCATCAGATTAGTAAAATGTAACTAGACACACTTAATTACACGAGGAGTCACTTGCAATTATTCTACTTGAAAGTCATAAAATAACGTGGTTCCCGATGGTGCTATCAAAACAGAATTATTAACTTCAAATATATCAGCTTCTCATATACCTTATATATTGGTGGTTTTTGGAAACGTTTTGCCAGTACTGAAAATTTCCAAACATCAAAAAATATACCCCCTCTCCAATTTTGCTAACATACCATTAATTATCACCAGTAACAGGCACTTTGAGTATAAAACAAAAAACATTAGTCAATCTAAGTACACTTATATTTCTTTTATGAAGCTTTTCCATACTAGTTCATTCTGGCCCAAACCATCAGTATGGACTTAACTATTGAGATCTCCCACCCATACATATCATATTTATATATTTTACTCAAAATTGCAAAATAAAAGTTTAATGTTTTTCCCATAGATTTAAATGGTACAAAGGCAAATATCTGAAGGCTCTGCTGTGGTTTATTGAATACAAAAAAACCTGAAAAATAAATGTATTAGTTTTTTATTCTTCTTTTTGCCTGCTCAAGGTTTGATTACTTAAATTAACATAGTAGAACCTCCACATTAAAGGCACCCTTCCAACTGTGTCAAAAGCCCCCAATAGCAAAGTGTCCTTAATATATTAAAAATTAGCAATGCAAAGCTGAATTTCATAGTGACTGTACAAAATTTATGAAATTTAAAGTCCCCCATTTTGTTTGGTGTATGATGATATGGATGTTCATGAGTTGCACATTGCCATGACATGGAGTGTTGTCAACAGGAGGTCTCAGGGGGTAAATTAGATGTGCCCTTTTTCTTTATTATTGGTCAAAAAGTTTCCAAGTACTTCTCTTCAGAGTTTGAACTGCTAAACATTTCACATTTATTTTCTATGTTTATTTTACTGTCAAAATTAAGTAGATATCTGCTGAAAATAAAGCAACAAATCACCACTTGTGTCATTAGATTGTTTAAGTGACACCTTAATACAGTACTTTCAAGAGCAAAAAAGCAAGTGCATAGAAATAAGCCGATCTGAGAATATGATGTGCAATTTATCAGCTTATGTATCCTACAGTGTTTACAATGAGAATTTTCCAGAGTAATAAAAAGATTGCACTTTGAACCTGTGAAAATGTTTATTACAGTATATGGTTCAGAGCCAGTCTAATAAACATCGCAAATGTTTGAATACTGGTCATCATTTTGGGATGTTTGGAATTTAGCAGTACACCATATAGACATACAAAGATAACTGCCTGTTTTATTGAGTGCTCGTTTAGAGAATGAGACTAAAGACACTGCCCTTAATCCGGAATATCGAGGTGCCCTTTATTGAAGGATTTATTTTGGTTACAAATAGTAGAAAAAGAGAAAGAGACTGAAAAGAACTGCCCTTAATGCTGCAGTGCCCATTTTTCGAGGTTCTACAATTTTTATGAAACATAATTTATTCAAACAAAAATTATTTCATTAAACTGACTTATTTCTGCAGGTTATTAGAATCTTGGAAATTGAATCAAACTAGAGAGCCCAAAAACTTTATTTCTAGAAGAATCAAGTTGATGACACCTGTGAAAGAGTATTTTGGATTTCCAGAGAATAATGATTATGATTGTCTTTATTCAAATTAAAATGGTTATTTCAAGCTTAATTTTTAGTTTGACTCCTGATATAAGAAAACATGTTTAATGATGCACTTTTTCCTAAATTTCCCCAAAGAAACTATTTCTCTCTAATTCAGAGCTTTTTCTGCATCTTCAAGAACAATTTTAGCTGTTTGATAATCTTCTTGCTCTGAAAGTTCAGCTTCTGCTTCCTGAAAAAATGATTTTTTTGAGAACTTCACAAGTTTTATAATTTTAAGGATTTTTCAACAATAATTTTGCAAAATGTCTTCTTTAACAATAGACATGTTGACTTAAAGAGGAGAATCTGAGGAAAATTGAAGGTTGCCAAATATATCCCCTATAAAATTTTCTTGAATCTGCATTGATCTGATCTCTAATCTACAACTTAAGTTAAAACAAATAGTTTATAAACTGTTAAATAACAATACACTTTCAAATTTCATATACTACACAGTAAACTGACATGTAAATGCACTCTGATTTGTATGATTATGTATTAGAAATTTAAAACTCATACACAGAGCTGAGCTTAGTTTTGCTTTATGTTATTTTTATAAGTCCAGTGATTAAATAGAATTTAGCCTGACTTATACTATTAGACAGTGGTCAAATTGTTACAAAAAAAATAAAAATGAGGGAATTTAAACCAGCAAGTTAATCTACCATAAAAACACTATAATTGATATGTATAACTACAGACTTTATAGATATTTGATTTAAGGAAAATAAAACAAACAAAAAACCTACCAGTATAGACTTCAGCTCTGTGTAAGCTATATTCAGTCTCTTTCGACAGTCTGGTGCCATCATCAGTGATTCTTGTAACACTTCCTCCTGAAATTTAGATACAATGTTATGATTTGAGTAAAATGTGGTACAAGGTTTTTTTTACAATCAACTTTGTTACGTTAATTCATGTAGCACTGACAGCAACCTTCTCATCAAGTTTCTCTTACTATTTTAATGAAATTGGAAAAATTGCTACAAACTGTTACATGTATATTTTCCAACATATCTGCAAAGTTCAAGAAGGTCTTCAATATATTCTCCATCTTTTTCAAATTATGAGTACATATGGACAATAAACAGCTACATTCTGTTATATGTATATTTTTCTGAAAGCTCCATCTTTTTCTTATTGTAAGTACATATGGACAATAAACAGCTACATACTGTTATATGTATATTTTTCTGAAAGCTCTATCTTTTTCTTATTGTAAGTACATATGGACAATAAACAGCTACATACTGTTATATGTATATTTTTCTGAAAGCTCCATCTTTTTCTTATTGTAAGTACATATGGACAATAAACAGCTACATACTATTATATGTATATTTTTCTGAAAGCTCCATCTTTTTCTTATTGTAAGTACATATGGACAATACATCAGTATTTAACACGTTAGCTGTTGCAATTCTTGGCATCATATATGGCAAGTGTTTATAAGAGTTTTAATGCAATATTTTTGTGTTTTCAATATAAACAATAGCAATGATAACAAACCAAAAACATGTAATCAACACATTTTTCTTTTTTGATACACATGCACATCCTCAGCAATAAATGTGTAAACTAGTTACACTAAATGCAACATAGCTTAGGGTTTTTCTATAACAATTAAAGTATATACAAGTATATAATTTTGAGGAATATAAATTGTGGTTCTCTCTATAACAAAAACATAAAAAAAAATCCTGTATTAGTTTCCAAAGTGAAAAATAAATTTACAAACCTATACTATGGGTAAATTTATATATTTATATGTATACTCTAAAACAACTTACACAAATGCAAAAATCTCTATCAGTACTTCACTGTATTACAAATGTACATTTACTTTCATAAAGATTTTTCAGTTAAAAACAATTTATCATGGGATGCAAGGTGATTGGTTGAGATGTATCTAGAAAAGAATGGGAATATTTTTAATAATGAATTTATAGCCCATCCATGAAGATCTTTATTGATCAATTACTCAATGTTTTCTTTAGAATTCTGATATGGTGAAAAATGTAAATAATATCCAAATCAATGAATAGCATCAGGATTTACTTTAAGAGGAAGCACATCAATTTCAATGTGATGGTGAGTGAACATTTTATAAAATGATTTATGTCAACAATGCCACTCTAATGAGAACACATTTACCAAATACTAAGGAATGCCCTAAACAGTCTTTATGCAATCTTTACTAACTTTTCAGTTACATACCCCTATTACTTTGAATATGTTCTTAACTCTCTCCATACGGGGTTGGTCCAAGGGACTGACCACAGGACCATTTTTCTTGTATATACTATAACTTTTAATACAGTGTGTACCTTCACCAAATTTGACAGACTTTTAGTACACACTCCAAGTATTTTGTACATAAAAAATCAGTTTTTTTAAATGAAGTATTTTTACTAAAGATTTGTCCGTGATGATATAAAGTATTTGTTTTGAATAGTCCATGTGCAAAGTGATTTTAATGTTAAGTTTAAAAATACATTTTCACTCTAAAACCTCGTAAATACATTTCAAATGTTTGTTTTCATTAAAACTATTTCATTGCCCTTTGAACCATGTCTAATTACTATTCATGCGATTATACATTGTAAAGCACTTGGCAAACATGGAGGTCACATTACGAATTACATTACCCACGAGATGCTTACGTGCGTGTTTCATGAAACTTTTTTATTATTATTATTTATTTTACCTAATCTAACCTTAATGAACCTAAAGAGTTTCCTATTTTTACATTTTAGTTACTTTTATAATAATAATAAATAAAGAAGAAAAAACAAGAAATAAAGTACTTACTTGAATCTTTTTTTCTTGCTGTCAATTGTTGTCATTTAACCCTACTTTTTTATACTAATGATAGCATTTTATTTAATTAAATAATGCACCAAAGAATATAGACTAATAACATGCAAAAGTACACAAATTTCCCTATCTCTAACAATATTTCTGGATTTCTAACTGCAACAAGAGCCATTACAAATTCATCCAAGCTAATCGTAATATTCCCGTGGTAATGAAACTTGTACTAACAGTGAAATTGACAATTCTCCGTTCAGAAAACAACATTAGACAATATGTAATTTGATAGATGAAAACCTTGGTTTTCTATTAGTTATAGATAATATAAAATTAAACATAAGAGAGAACTATTAACAAATCCTGAAAGAGAGGATGTGACAGGTGGGTGTGGCAAGAGGGGTCTGATTTTCTATTTGATAACTCTATAAACAAACAAAATAGAAGGCTATAAAAATTATGGTTTGAGCAATGAGGATTTTATAGTAAGTAATTTACTTTTACTTTCGTACTTATTGGAGGGTGGTGGATAAACTATAGCAGAGAAGACACATAGAAAAAATGTGTCATGTGTCACACTAGGGGAAATTCAGGATTTTTTAAAATATTGCTGTATAAAATTAAGAACTTAAAACTTATATACTATTAAAATATGCATTATTAGCTAAGGTTTTATGCTATACTAATTGGAATAACAAACAAAAAGTAGATTAATAAACTTTTGAATGTCACTAAAACCTTGTGATATGTGCAGTAAAGCATGCCTGTAACAATAGGGTTAAATAAAAAATATTAGTTAGTATTTTCAATTTTCAGTTCTCATATGACCTAAAAAAAATATGAAAAGCATTGTAATTCATTTTTATCTGTAAATATTGAAGAAAAAATAATCCAAGTAAAAAAAAGCATAACACAATGAATCTTCTCAAAATTTCAAAGCTGCAAATTCATATAAATATCAGATATTGTAGCTCCATAATAAGTTCTTCTGAAGTTTCAAACTATTTCATACAGTACTTCTTGTTCACAATGCAATAAAACAAAGCATGCAACAAATGAGTTAAACTGTTGCACCTGGGTCTGATAGTTAAACCATTTACATTTTGTTTCATGTGTTCATGAATACTAAAAGGTGCAATAAAAATTTATAATGTTATGATTATACCTATACCCTCTTACTTTTGTTCTTTAATAAAGAAGTTGCAAGTACTAAATAGAGTTGGGTGATTAATTCAATGCAACTGATCAACAACAAGCACTGATACATTGGTTAGTGTCAGGTAAGATAATAAAATTAATATTACATTTAAGTTGGTTAACATAAAAACAATAAAAAATCTAAATTAATGTTCTGATTACTTTAAGTTCCATTTTATTGTAAGCTGTATTTTCAATGTCATAATTTTGTTTGCTAGAAAGAGCAGCTAACCATGATGATGTAATAACTGAGAAGCTGCATTCAATATCTATATGAGGGTACATTATTCAAAAATGAGTAGTCAGTGAGTTTTACAAGTTCAGTGTTACAGGTGAGAGTTATTGCACCTATTCAGTTACTTGAACAATTATCAAGAAAATTCTGTAATTAAGTTTATTTGAGAGTTAGGTATACTCAGAACAACATATTGACACCTGAAACACAACTAAGAGTTCTAAAGTGCTAATGTCCATCCAATCCGTTTTTATGGTTCCAAATGTTGGACAATATCAACAACATTGAAGAAATGTGGTTCCTAAGATGAATGCTTAAAATATCATGGAACACACAAACGAGTAATTTAAGTTGTTCTAAAAGAGGCCAAGACAAAACGAATGTTGTGGGAAAACAACAAAAAAACAATGGAGTTTTATAGGACATATCATGAGAAAAAGGAGAGATTGAAAACATCATTATGAGAGGAAAAATCCCACAAAAGTAAAGTAAAGGAAGACAAAGACAGATGTTGCTACCAACAATTAACAAAGAACTAGGAATTACCACTATATAAGTGATAAGATCAACTGGAGATAGGGATCAGTGGAATATCATGCTCACCAATGTCCAAGATGGACATGGTACCTAGAGAGAGAGGGGGGTATACTTACAATTAACCAAGAAAATTTCTGTTAAATGTTATTAGTGTATTAGGACTATGGTAGTTACAGTAGTATCTGTTGAACAGTTTTGTATTTGAAATTAGGCATACAGGCAAAAATGGTTCTAACAAATGTTAAAGAAGAAATAAATTAATTTGTCATTGTTACATGGATTGGATATCTTGCATTATTTTTACCAAATAATCAAAAAAAAAACACCCAATGATAGAAAATGTTACAACAATGATGTCAGAAGTAGGACTTTGTTGAAACAAAACAGAACTTTGACAACCTGAACTGTTAAAGATGATGACAACACAAGCAAAAAAAAGAGAGAAATCGAAACCTTGTTTAAAATGATGAACCAGTTAAAAGAAAGATGCATTATATGAAGAATATTAAAATCAAAATATGACTGAAGGTAAGATCAATGAAGCTATTAATTACAAGACAACATAGAGAGATTGTAACAACAAAATCAAAGAGAAAATTACAAAATGAAATCAACGACAGAATAAAACATTTGGAAAAAAGAACTGGTAAATGCAAAGATCAAGCTAGCCACATCTCATGCTATATCTAAGAATTTCAAACTAAATCATCATTTACTACAAAATATAGAAAAAGAGACTTATTTGGTCTGCAAAATTTACCACAATTGATGTGCCATTTGTTACTGCAGGACCTTGCTGGACTAATCCAGCCATGCCACTACCAATTCTAGTTCCAGAACTTAGTTGGTCAGTCCTACAACATTGCCCCTTGGATTGTGATAAAGAGGTATCATAGGAGGCATACCAAACTCAGTTTGAAATGATTTCCAGGATGAACAGGTAGAATAGTGAAGAACATGCTATTCATCTTGCTAGCCATTTAAATTTACCATATTTAATGACATTAAGTAACCTTCAGGAGGAGAGCCGTAATAACTATCAAGCTTTGGTAGCTGCTTCAACCAACAGGTTCAGCATGATACACCACAAAGAGTATATTTAAAGCAAAGTTCTGAAACAGGATGCAAAGGAAAGAAGAGGCATTAATCCAACTTGTAGAAGATTTGGAAAAGCTTGCCATATTATCTTACCAAGATGCTCCACGTGAACTGATGGCTTTGTTGACACACGACCAATTTATAGTTGCCATAACAATAACAGAGGATATGAAAATTAGCAAAGTAGGTGTACATCTTTAGAGGAATTTCTCCAGTTTGTGATGGAGTTTGAATCCATTAAAGTCCTAGATAAACAACTAATGACACTATCTAGAAGTTATGGGATCACTATATCAAATAGTATTGAAACATCAACTTCCATCGATGATAGTCTACAAGAACTAAAAGGATTAGTCAGATATCTAGTTATACAGAATGTGAAGAGAATAATAACTCCTCTCAATGAATGTCAGAAAAAGTGATGTTATAAGGTTGGGAAACAAATGTTAATAAACCACAGAAATAATACCCAAAGAACAAGTTTGAGCTCAATCAAATCAAAGGAACAAAAAAGGGATAACCAGACATAAAAAACAAAAATTGGCTAGCTGTATGTGGCAAAGGTCAGCTGAGATTTTTCCATTTGCACCAAACAAGATAAGAAGTTCATTATTTAGAGAAACCAGTCTATCAGTCCATAGGTTTATTGATGAGAAACCTTGAAATATATGGATTGACCCTGATTCTACAGCTATAACAGTATGACCAGATTCAGTAATGACAGTTTGGAAATTGCCTCAAGTATGTCATGAAGGATTAATGGTTGAAAGAACTCTCAATGGATCTGAAGAATAAAAACAACATCATTAGGACCATAAAATATTTGATGTCAAATTCTTACACAAAGAAGTTTACCACCTCACTTGCAAGAGCTATATGGAGTTCTTATTGCTGATCAATGCCAAAAATTATGTGAGTTGCTCATAGAGTGGACCTCATAACTTAGGCCAAACAAACATCTCAAAATATTGATTATGGAGAGGCAGATCAAATACATCAGATAGCCAGATGACTCACACTTACAAAAAAGTTGAGGCTTTCAAAGAAACAGAAATCATGAAGAACAAGGAGTGATAGCACTGGGTATTAGTACATGGACACCATCTACTGTAATTTTGAGGAAGATGGATGGTTCCACAAAGTTTTGTACGGACTAATGGAAGGTGAATAAAGTTACAAAGAAGGATACCAAATCACTGCCATGAAATGAGTATTTTGGATGCTTTATCTTGATCAAAACAGTTTTCAACATTGGATCTAAAGAGTGGATACTGGCAAGTGCAAATTCACAAGGCAGGTAGAGAGAAGACAACCTTTACTGAATGAACTTGATTATGTTACCATTTAGATTACATAAAGCACCTGTAACATCTCTCTCTCTGCACTACACTGGAATGTTGTACTTATCAACATAATTACACATGGAGAAACTTTTGATGATGATTATGATGGGCTAACAAAAACTTGAGTGGTTGAGAAAAGAGAACCTTAAGTTGTTTCAGAATATTTTACCTCAAAATACATATATCCTTCCAAATCATAAACATCTCAAATTATGATGCAGAAATGTTACATGGATTTGGTATTCATAATTTAAAAAATCTGCATTACCTGTTTTCTAATATCATATTCATCTTTACCCTCAGCTTTCATCTTCTCTAATTTATTTCTCTCTTGTTCAGCTTCCTTCTCATACATTCCTTTCTCCTTGGATAATCTAAAGGCAAAATATAAGTTCTTAATCAACATGTAAAAATTTAATGTAATGTATTAGAAAACAGTAATTTGTAACATTACTGTGGATGTTTTTCATGTGTAACAAAATTCACAATACATTTTAATATTTATATATTTTACAAGAAACACAAAAATAAGGTAATCATTTAAAAATAATAAGAATTCATATCTTAATCAAACCAATATTTCCAAATTTCTGAATATGTAGAAATGCACAGGATTAAGAAATATATTCGCTTACTGTTGTAAGGTAATATTCTACTTACTTGTAAACAAGAATAACTGGGCTATTGTTAAGTAGACACGTATGTTCATGAGCTATGATAATAGTTCCAAAAGCATGATTTGGTTGTGATCTTTGCTTATACAGAGGTTAAGTTATCAAAGCCTCACACAGCTCATTTCACTATGTCAAGTCACCATCTATCTGATGACAGTGCATCTTCCCAATAGCACTTCGGGATAGTTTGATTTGCAAAAGGCTGTCATGTCCAAAGTGCAACACTCTCCTCTGATGGCATTCCATTATCTACCTAATGTATGAGAACAACAGCTTGCCATTTCCAATTTCAAAAGTTGATTGTACAGAAATCAACAGGCAGCTTGACTAGTATGTTTTTGTATGAAATAACACAAACACTCATTTCATTCTCCAGCTGCTTGATGTATGAGACGGTAAAACAGATATGTTGCTAAAGAAACTTGCGTACATGTAACTTGCATCACTCTTCAGGATGGATATCTTAATTGTTACATACTGTTACTTGGGCCATTTGGACAGTTTTTGCCACTGATCCTTGTGTTTGTGGATTCTTAACTGTTATAACATGCTGCACTCTGATTACCATACCTGGATTACAAAGTGCGCAAGTCTCCTTTCTGGCTAGTCCAATTTCATCCCTTTTCTCCTGTTTTTTAATGCTAATATGTAAGAGGTACTGCCATCTTGGAAATTCAAAACCTCCAACCTAAACATCTGTGTGATCCAAGTGTTTCAATATTTAACACTGTAAAGGGCTGTTTTATACCATTCCAAAAATAATCAATTTTCAGTGGCATCACACTATCTATGAAATGCCAAACAATGTCAAATGTAGTTCTGATATGTTTCATTACACTACAATTTTATATCAGCTGTGACTGTCGTGTCATTGCTGATTTGCATATTCAAACTCACTTTAATATATGTACTTAACCTTCAGTATGAAGATGTAAAAAAAATCTGCACATAACTTCATTAACAGTAACTGTTACTGATTCTATACAATGAACAAAGTCAACAACTTGTATTTTCAGTGCCAACCAGTTACCCATGAACAAACATTTTCTACCACTGTATGCCCTTCTTCAGAAAGCTTCAGGTAAAAATACAATCTCAAAAGTTTTAATTCCAGATGATAAATGAAGAAACTTTTCTGAATGGTTTAAAATTACTGTTACGACAGCAGAAGTCACGTGACGCTGGTAACATGTTATGAGATTCTCGAAAGATCGTGACTTTTCCTGGCAACTCTAGTCTTTTCTAGGCACCCTCTATTTCAGTATATAAGCCTGGCAAATAATTGCAGATATAGATGAGAGATAGAGACAGATAATTGAGTCAAGTGAGCGGTAGTGACGGTAATATAAAGTGTGTGTTTTGTTATCGAGATTGTAAATGTATTGACTGTGGAAATTCTGTGTATTATAAAGTTGTATCGAGAAATAACTAGTTTTAGTTAAGAAAGGACCTGTATCACTGAAGTTTCTCGGAAAGAATTTCTATGGGAAATTAACAAACGAACAGAGACATAACATTATAAAAAACTAAGATGAAACTAATACAAAAGCAATATAGATTAAAAGTAAGAAACAAAAACACCAAAAAAGGCCTTCTAAGTCTTTTACACTAAATTATAAAAAATAAATTATTTTAGACAAAAAATAGGAATTATAGTTGAAGGAATAACAATTATGAGCATACAAGGCTCCTATGTGTTACTGAGGATAATGGTTTAACCACCATTTAAGATTCATACTTACAGAATTTAAAACTGGCACTCGGCAATTTTGCTGAGAGCAGACAAAATTTTGCTAGTTACTTTTATACAACAGTCTTCTGTATGGCAGATTACTTAAATATATATACCATTCAAAAATTCATGATTTTCAGCCTTACATAAATAACTTAAAGGGTGAAGGAAATGTTTAGTGAGATATTATTTTTACACTGTACATCTCACAAACCCAGCTATCTAAATGACAAAACAGCTGCATGCTTCAGCAACAGTACTTACAAATCTGTATTAGATAAAATGGAGGTCAAAACTCAGATTGCAAAATTGATGACAGTACCAACTGTTCAGTTATGAATAAAATGATCATGTATATATCAAAGGTGAAACTAAGACTAAATATGTTTCTTAAACATCCTTAACAAGAGCCAATTTTGTCACTGTTGAGGTTGTAACATTTGATGTCTTGATTAATAAATTGAGCCTGGAAAATAATCAGCCATCCAAAAAACTGTGGACAAGCCAATGATGGTACATCAACCATGTGTTGCGTATCTGCTTGTTTGTTAATTTCCTGTAGAAATTATTTCCGAAGAACTTCAGCAATACAAGTCCTTTCTTGATTAAACCAGTTTATTCTTTCTTGATACAACCTTGTAATACACAGAATTTCCAATCAGTATGTTAAGCTTAACTACTTTTTTTATAGCACAAGCTATAAATCAAAGTGATTCACACACTTTACTTACAGTTCCTACTATTCGCTCAACTCAATTATCTATGTCTTCAATCTATCTGCCTATCGTGCTGGTTTTTTTTGCCAGGCTTATATATTAAAAAGAAGGCATCTCGATTGCACTTGGGCCTTCATGATCCTTTGAGAAACTACAGAGCACATGCTCCCAGCGTTGCGTGACTTCCACTGTTGTAACACATGGTTGACATTTGTGAAGGAGAAGTTGCAAGGTTGAAACAGCATCAACCAAATCATCAATACTTTACTGTCATGTAACGAACATGCTCATGGTATTGTACAGTTTGTAAAAATCTTAATAGGTCTATTTTATTTACAGTTTCTTCAAATAGTCTTTAAATATATATGTATATTTATCTTGTGAGAAATGTATTTATTTTTAAAACAATTTAGGTGCAATTTTTAAATACCTGCTCTGATTAGTACATTTCAATACTGTTGTAACTTATAAATATTTGTTGGACAGGCATGTATGCTTTGTACCATAGAAGTGGACCACTTGAAAGCAAGCTTGTAAAACCAAAGGTATCAGCAAGCTTTGGTATCATTTTTTGGCAAAAGGTGCCTGCCAAGATACATTTCTAATTTTGATTTGAAACTAATTCTAACCTGTTTGCTTCATGTTTATAATAGATTGAAAACAATGTTGTTCATATTGAGGTGCTTTACCTCATAAATTCAGATTCTTCATGTATTTCAAATATTTAAATTTCCATGTTTGTGATGTTATTTAAGGTAAATGGTTTTATAATCATCTCATAATTAGAGACATAAAAGTTGATCTTAGCCTGAAAATTTAATTTCATGTACCTGTGAAAATTAAAAAGTGAAAGATTAAGTGGGTTTCTGCACCTGCTACAGGATACTGTGGATGTGCTGGCTCGTCTAACATTCTCTAAAGAATAACCATTACCTCAATGATGCCGTAACTTCAAGTAAAAAGTTCATACAAATCTTTAGTTGTTTACAAGGAAAGGTATATTTGTGGTTTCATGAAAAGTCAATCTAGTATATTTATATATATTGCTTTTGATAATTGTTGTTGTGGTTTATAAACTAGTTTTCCTTTCTACTTAAAGCTCAACTTCACCTTTGCTTTCCAATAACCCCACGGAGATTGTGGGTGGCTTTTGTGTAACGTGGCATTTTCACACACACAGTAGTCCCTCTTAGGTACAAACGACCTATCTGCCAGGATAAAAAAAGTCGTTATTCAAAGGATCAATAACCAGATCATGAACGACTAAGTTCAAGATGTGCCAGTCACTATTGCCAAGGCTTAAGCATAATGGTTTATATACTGTATAGGTAGTCAGATGACATAGCAAATTGGTATTATAATAATAATATTTATGATGGATAACAGTTCAATAAATATAACTTAAAATTGTTTTGTTTGTGTTTTATGTAAATTAATTTATTCATCAATCATATTTATTTCATAAAACATCACATCTTTATTCCATACATGTAAAATGACAAATTGACACCAAATTTATTTCAATAAAAAAATTGTCCATCTTTTTTGTTTTGCACATCTAACAGAGTCACTCTGAATGTTCATGAGTTTGGCAGACATGGTATTGAGAAGCATTTTGTTGTTTGTTTTCAGCACATAGTCTCGAATTTCTTCTAAGTATCTGACTGCCGTTGCTGCGAAGATCACTGGTTTGGTTTCCAGTTCATTATCATCTTCAGTTGTTGGGTCAGAGTTTTTAGTTTTCTTTAATGCATCATCACACAAGACAAACTCTTCCTATGATGTTCCCTGCAGTAACATCTTCTGGTGTATCTGGAAATGTCTGGTTTATGAACCCTCAGTGTGTGAAACACTTCTGAATCATTTCTTGTTGGACCAAATTACAGGCAAGTTTCAACCAGTATATTGCATTGAGTATGATGACTTGACCGGCAAAATTGCTGGGATTCTGTGCCTCGGACTTCTTCAGAAGTATGTGACAGAAATATTTTGCAATAAGTTGATTTCACAGTCTTTATGATGCCACCATCACATGGTTGCAAGCACAACAATGTTCTTGGTGACAGGAACACGAGCTTGACATTTGAATGCTTCATAAGTGGGTATGTGGAACATTTATTGACAAATGTCAGAATTGATCAGTTTTGTAGCTTCATTTTGTTGTTGATTTTCTTCAACCAATAGCTGTAGATGGCTAACATCATCCAAGCTTTCTTGTTTGCATCGTACATCACTGATAATGTTGATGTCTG